CTATCCAACTGCACCTTAGGTTCAAATTATTTTTATTTTATTAAATGCTTCTGTTCACAGAAGATTTTACTAGCACTATTACAGTTTTCATATGCTCCAGTTCTCCAGCGTGAACCTCGTCCTATGTCCTCACCTACCCCATCCCCAAATGCATTCAGGTATGTGCTTGGTGCTGAGACACTACGAAAACTATTCATTTTGATAAAGATAAGCAAACTCCATAGTACCATAGATAGAGGATATGTTCCCAGTAAAAAAAAAAAAAAAAAGCTGTCTTCATACTAAAAAAATCATAGGGATGAAATGTTCCAAGTTTTGCATTGTTGTAACCATGCTGCTACTACAACAAGCTGTAAATTCTCAGTGACTTCAATAGCTGCAAAGGTACATTAATGCTGCAGTCAGTAAAATAAAGATATCCATCGTATTTTCCAGCATAACAAGAGCAGTGGACATTGACTGTTACGTGAAGTTAACAGTCAATAGATCTATCCCATAATTCTTTTCCTGTTTTGTTCACAATGAAGAGCAACTGAAGTCTGCATAAAAGCAAGACAGAATGCTTGCAAAGATGGGCCAGCAGTAAATGTGAGAAAAAATGAAGGAGTTTGTATGTTCTGCAACAAACAGAAGACAACCTAAGAAGGGAGAAAAATTTAGACTGCAAAAAGAAACAAGGGTCAATAGCAGGACTAATGCTGGGGTGATGAGAAAGAAAATATAAAGCTTTCAAGTTGTTCTTTGGTAGTTATTAATTTGAATGATTGCAAAGATGCAAAACAAGTATTCAAAATCTAATCAAACATCAGTAGTGGAGGGCACGCTAATTGGGAAGGAGGGAGCAGAAGCTGGAGGAATTAAGAGTGCCTGGGCGATGAGAGAGTGTCAGATAAGCTATAACACAAGGAAAGGGGCAAGGTATCCAGGGGCATGACATGGATGGCCGAGGCTGGGGGCTGGATAGGCTACCTGGGAAGATCAGCTAACCAACCAAACTGCAACAACAAAAAACACATCAAAAAAACACCCCCAAAATAAATTTAAGATGAAACCCTTCATCAGGAATACCTCAAGTCACCTGCATAATTACGTGCATGCTCCCAAGTACAGCTTTCCATGGCCACTCTCAACTACAAAGCCGCAAACTGTGATTTAGATTACTCTCCTGCTTGGAGCTTTCAACTCATATCTGGACATTCAGGAACTTCTCACCAGTGGTAGATAAAGAAATTAATGCCCCCCTCAGGTTGAAGCTGGGAGGGCAACCTAACCCAACCCAACCCAACCCAACCCAACCCAACCCAACCAATTCTGTGATTCTATGAAATATGCTGTTGACCTGCTGATCCCCATCCTTTGCTCTGACTATGACAAGAAAACAACTGAGAGAGATTTGCCAAATAGTGATCAAAACACCCCACGTCCCTAAGGGATCGAATCTGGCCAGAGCAGACCAAACTGGAAAACACTCTCTTGCTGGCCCTGGATTGTGTACAGGGTGGCAAAGACAATGAGCAGACCTGCAGCTTAGTAATACTGCTTGTTCTTCCAACTACTTTTCCTGCTTGCTTCTTTTGTTTGGACTTCAACGGGTTCAAACCTGGAAGCAACTGCCCCCTAATGTGAACCCTTTGCAAAAGCATCCCAGAATTGCAGAGTCCTAAGGAAATACAGCGCTGATGCTGACCGGGAGCACGCTTTGGGCTGCCACCTTTGGGTTTGCACTGGCCATATAAATGATGAAACTGCATCCACAAATAGCCAGAACCTTCCCCAGCTACCACTTAAATACAGCACCAAAGAAGATGGGACAGATCTATTTTCACCTTAACCCTTCAGACAATCAAGGTTATTTGTGGAATTACTTGCTAAATTATCATGTGAAATGCTTTTGGTCAGGCTAACTCAATGGCTGCTGATAGCGCAGTCCAATATCTGAACAGGTTCTTGCAGAGCCACCCAGCTCCCTCCCTTTTACATCTTGCTTCCACTGAACTGCCACCTTCAGCACATCTGGGTTTCTTCAGACAAATTCAACGTAGAGCCAAACGAGCTTTAGAAGGGCTTATGCTGCCCAAGTTTCAGAGCAGAGCCAGAGATGGTACCCATGCTGGGTACATGCAGAGGGTCCAAAGCAAACAGGGTCTAACCCCACTGACACCCAGTGGCCTTTTCTTAACCACCTAGAACCTGGACCTAAACACACTTATTCCAAAACAATCCATCTGCAGTGAGGGTGCATTCTAAAAATCTTACATTGAAAACTAATTTTTATGCACTGGAAAACATTATTTGACCTCTCTATTTTTGGTTTGTTTGTTTTTTTTTTACACCTGGCATGGATTTTTCTAAAGTAATTACACCACTTGATTTTCCAACAGATGTCAAAAAATGTGTACAAAAATGTGTACTTACACTTTAGAAACTTAACATTCTGACTGCATGAGGGGCCAATGTCTAAATATGCTTTAGTAGGCAAGTACCTGGCTTTTATTCTAACATTTATGACAAGAAAAAAAAAACTTGATAGAGATTAGATTCATGGACTGAGTCAGAAATCCAGAGCTTCAGATGCTGCCCCATGTACTCTAAGCAGAATGTATACTTGCTAGTAGGACGGCCATCCATTGGAAAACCCATAACTGACGAGGCTTCACACATCATACCACAGAGAAACCTTGTTTGAGTTATGCTCTGCTTTCAGTCTTTAAGAAAGTGCTGGGAACTATTTGTGATTTGCATCTGGGGAAGGAAAAAATAATCTGAATTTCTACAGCCAGCCAAACCAATGAATCAGGAATAAACTTTACCCAGGTGCTCCTTAAAGAAATGAGAACAGCAATACTATAAATTGAATAAAAGAACGTATCTTTGGAAGCTCAAAGTAATGACTGAATTAATGGTGCAGACTGACAGCAAGCAATCAGAAACCAGCCTTAAGAATTTTCTTACCAGGTTCTGAAAATCTGACATATTTAATGAAAAATAGATTTGGCACTTCATTATTCAGCCACAAGCAACATAAACCACAAATGCCCAGAGTACAATTGAGAGGGTGTTTTGTGCACTATTCAGCAGTCGCTTTGTGGGCTATTCAGGAAAATGCTGAAAGATCAGACTTAACAATTCATTTTAACTCTGCTTCCCTGAAGACCTCACTGATGTGCTTCTTGTCCCGAGGGTTTGCCTGTGCCTTGTGTTCGGTGTAATGATGCACGATGCAGAACCGCACCAAGGAAATTTAGGAGCTGAAGCACCTAATGGAAGCAGCGCAGAGCAAAGGTCCTGCTGCAGAAGGGTGGGGAATGAGTCCATGTAACCAGCCAGGTGGAGGCCAGGAGCTTCTCCCCAACCCTGCCCCACACCTACAAGGAAGTGCCTTCACTGTGTGAAGGGATGAGGGAGTGAAGTACGCATCCAGCAGCACGGGGCTGCAGCTCAGTGAGAACTGGTGAGGGGAAGATGAGGACCTCAAGAGACCCAGTGAGCATTCTTTTGTCTAAGCTGGAACCTTTCACGGGTAAGAGAGAGAGCAACCCGTGGGTGATGTCTCCTCGACAAGACAATGCCTTTCTGTTGGTTAAGCTTTCTGGTGTGTTGCTAGGACAGGCGTGTATTCAGCTGAAGTAATAAAGCTGCTTTGACACATGTATCTGATATGGCAGTTGGGGAAGCAGGCTGTTTTGACTCTAAATGTCTGATAGCTCTAGGTGAATTTAGGTAAAGATAGCTTTCTTCTTGTCAATGAATCATGACATGAACACAAGTGAATTTGCTCTGAACAACTATAATACTAAATATAATAACAGTTGACAGCGGAATCAAAGGCAGAGCAGATCGGTGGGCACCTAAACGAGCTGGCTGTGAGAGCCCAGGAGGTCTGTATGAAGGCTCTAGAGCTGCTCCCCTGGGGTACATGCTGATGCAGTTGCATTGCAGGAGCACGAGAAACATATTCCTCTGTTTACACCTGCCAAGAGTGCTGAAAAGCCCGTCCGAGTCCTTCATTCTGCCCAAAGATGCAGTGACTGCAGACAGCGGGACAAAGCAGAGGTACAAACATTTGCAAATGAGTAGGAAACATCTTACATCTTCACGGCCATTCCGAAGACAAGGCAGGGGCTGCAGAGGGGAGTGTTCTGTATGTGCACACCTCTGTCTGCTATTGCAGGTGTACGGACAGAGCACTTTGTTGGTTTGTCCGTGCACCGACTCAGTTTTCCATCCATTCAGCTCAGTAGTAGTGATCTTTTCACAACTGTGTGTTCCTGAGATGCAGGCCTAACAAAGTTACATTAAAATGGTGTTTTAATACCGAATGGACTCAAAGAAGGAAAGTTAACGGGATTATTTAGCGCAAAAATTAACGATGCTTAACAGCACTGCTGCAGTCATCATCACGGCTGTGTTACAGAGCTCAATCACTATAGATGAAATGTTTTCTGAACCAAACGAGTGTGAGCACAATGGGGAGCTGTGCGTTTCCTTCTTTTTAATAAAGCAAAGCACGGCGTGTACGCTCTGCGGCCCCAGGGCAATCTGCTCGTTACGGAACTTACAAAGTGGCAGAGTGAGGAAATGAGCCCGCTGTGTCTGCGGGGACACGGTTCCTAAAGCAACTCCGAGAGCTACGGACAGCCCAAATTTACTTGGGGTGCATATCCCACATCGCAGCTCTCGCTGGGGCAACGCTAGAGTAAAATAAAATTCCTCCCCCCCCCCCCTAACCATTTGCCCATCCAGCTCCGCTCTTTCCAACCACCGACACGCCGCCGATAACCGCAGCCAGCCGCGGCCAGCGGCGCTGAGGGGACGCGTCGCTGCGCTACCGGGCAGGCGGCTTCGCACACCTCACGTCTTCGTTCACAGACGCGCCTCAACTTTGCCAGCCCTTACAGACGGCGGCCCGCAGCGCTCGGAGCGGCCGTCCCGGCGCCGCCCCGCGGGACCCTCCCGGGAGCCGGGCTACCCCGAGCGGGACCTCGGCGGCGCTCACCTACCTATGGTGGAGACGACGGTGCTCACGAAGTAGAAGGCTCCGGGGAAGTCCCAGCGGGGCCGCAGGGCGTCGACGCGGATGCCCGCGGCCATGGCCGCCTCGTAGCTCCGCAGGAAGGCGCGCAGCTCGGGCAGGCTGATGTTGAAGATGCGGCTGAAGTTGTGCAGGGTCCGGTTCCAGCGCAGCTGCGCCGCCGCCTCCGACGGGCTCTCGAGGGCCGAGAAGACGGTGGCGCCGGCGCTCAGGTACGCCGCGATGAGGGCGGCCAGCAGCAGGAACCGCCCGTTGTCCTCGTTGAGGGGCGCCGGGCGCCGGCGGCGGCGAGGACCCGCCGCCCCCC